TATTTCAATTCTTCATCATGCTTGCCTGCAACGTATATATATATATATATAAATACTTTGCAAATTAAACTGTAGATTATCCTTCTGGTGGGATGGGGAGATACCTTTGATCGCTTTAAAAAAAAGAAATAGTTATTAAGCCTAACGTGTATGCTTTTTATGATTCTTTTCCCTTTAATTTTCCCCACTTTTTCTTTATTTTTCAGATCAATGACTCCTCGTCGTAAACGCTGAGGAATGATATGACACTAGTCATAATGATTTTAAAATTCCATGAGTTTTTAAGGGCTTGTCTCATTATAGAGGCTCATTATAGAGGCTACAGTTGTGGCTATGTAGATGGAAGCTGACCCATTTTTTAATGAAAAGATCTGTAAATAGCTGTATTTTTTGGAAACACTGCTCGGAGTTAAGTACTTGCTAGGAATTCTTTGTATTTACATTTTTCAAAACAGTAGTGCTTACCTAAGGCTATGAAATATGTCATTCTCTTTCAGCTGTAATGTTCTTAAATTGCTATTGAATGTATTGTGATGTCAATAAAGTTCTTTAGTTCATTTTTTTGTTTAACTTCTTCTATTTTTATTTATTTTAAATATTTATTTGCAAGGCATTTTTCTTTTGTAAAATGCTTAATAGTAATTTAACTTTGGGTTTCATCTTTGGATAAATCCCAGTCAATTCTCTGATAACAGAACTGTGTGGGGGGAAAAAACCCAAAGGTTTTTGTTTTATTTTAATGGTATGCTTCATCATACTATGTGTGAATGAAATGTGGATAATTACTGTAAGACATACCAAGACTAGCTAAACAGAAATAGTAAGTCCAAGTAAGTTAACTTACATGAAACAAGTTTATAGTTTTGCAACACTCTTTCTCGTATGATTGGAGAAGTTAATACTGCTTTTGACTCAGTTTCTGTAATTATAACGTTAAAAGTCACTAAAATAACCTTGTGTTAATAAATTTCATTAGGTCTAATCTTACAACTTACCAACTTAAGATGATGATTGCAAAATAAAAATGCTGTTTATAACATCTTAGAAAATGCTAAAAAGTAAGCAGTTTTTTGCTTGGGAAACATGAATTCTAGAGAGATCTTGGTGTTAAAAGTAGGCTTAAGTATGTTACATCTTCCTATCAGAGATTGGGAACTTTCATTTTGATTTCTCATTTACTTCAGAAAGTTAATGGCACGCCTTAGTATTTAGCTTATAACTGTGCAGACTAAATTTATAAGGTGCAGGGAAATAGAGTTGATACAATCCTAATAAACATAAGACCTGAAAAAATAGGAACTAAGATGTCAGTATCATGCTATGTACTTTGAGTAACCCTCTTCATGCATTGTACCTTCCAGGTGCATAGTACTGATAGTCCTTGCTTAATGACTGGTTGCTAAGCGATTGAAGTTACAGTGGACTCCCTTTAAGCTGCTTACTAGCCTGAAGTTAGAGCTGCTGCAGTGCCCCTCCAGTCATTTGCTTTTACAACCAATTGCAGGGACACTAACAGACTCCCCCTATTTTACCCCCACCAAGTCCTCGCAGGGCTTGGGCCTCTTCCACCCCCTCCCATCAAGCACCTTATCTTTTGAAGATATCCAGAATTTTCTGCAGCTCTGTGTGATTTGGGCAGCCATATGGCATGATTCCAGAAGTGAGTACAATTATTTTGAGCAACCTTCTAGTCCCTTCTTTGAGTTAGTAGTTTCTTGATTGATGTATTGTTTACCACTTGACAAATAGTAAAACAATCAAACCACAAAGAAAAAAATAACACTCCCGCATTTGTAGGGCATGCCATTTACATATAAGCCAAGAGCAACCCCTCTCCTTTCTAGCACTGATAATGTTATCTAGTTTGGTAATGAAATGTGCAAGAAAACAACCAAGCTCAGAGAGCACCAACCACTCTACACACCCCAAACCTCCAGAACAAGAAAAGTGATTTCTTTTCTAAACAAATACAAACTTGAAGCACCCAGTGTATATTAATTGTAGGTGAACGTAATACACATTTTGTAGCAATCCTATTAACAGATAGTGTGTCCTCTATTTTATTTCTCCAATTTTCCTACTTAGAAAAATAAGGCCCAAAAAGAAGAGTTCTGTAATAATAGAAAATTAAATGTTTGTTTCTGTATTTAACTTGCTCCAATAAAAACTACAATGCTGTTTCAGTTTGTTCTTTTTAACATACCAACATGTGCGTAGGTTATAAGAACACAAGAGAAACAAATACTAAATGTCAAGGTTATGTTGACTCATAAAAGTAGAAAACTTTGAACTTCACTAACCTCTCCCTTATGTAATTGTCATATAATGTTAACATAGAGGAGAAATGGTCTTTGGAATGCACATTTGCTTTGTCACAGAGAAGGCATTTGTTTATTTACATATAATACTTTATTTACATATATTTTTGTATCCAGCTTCCAGGTACTTTACTATCTATTTATCTATCTATCTATCTATCTATCTATCTATCTATCTATCTATCATCTATCTATTTACACACACACAATTCAATAGATTTATATCTTACAATCAACCCACATAACCATAACTTATTAAAGAAATCTCCTTTATAACCCTGTAATCCCTTAATTTTAGGTAGAATCAGGGCAACTGGAATGGAGCGTTTACTGGCTGGTGCCCTTCCTGACATTGCAGAATTCACAGCAGATATTTTTTTTCTTTGGCTCTACAGGATAAAAATCAGAGAAAGATAGTGCATAATTTATTGCATTCCTAAATGCATCCTTGCCTGTCTCATCCACATATCATCTTTGTTCCTGAAATGGCTTGCTAACTTAATTTTTTAAAAACAAATTGCTGTGCCCTTATATTTATTCCCTCCCATCCTGAGGAAGGTTAAGTAAGCTGAGGGCAACCAGCTCAAAGTCACCAATGAAACTTCTGTGAGTTAAGTGGACCCAGAAGATGAGTGTCGCTATTTAACCAGCATACCACATTGGCTTTCTATGGAGATTCTCAATCATCCAGATCATGGTTGTCCTAAAGGTGCTTTCCAAAAAGCAGCTAAACTTGGTTTTTCAGTTCTAAAGAACTGAAGCTTCTTGGATGGGAAGTGAAATGTTTTCAAGGAAAAAAAAACCTCCAATTGCCTTTTGGAAAAGCACATTTGGGATATCCTGGCTTTCACAAATCCTCTCAACAACGCTCCCAACCTTTGTGCCAGTTTACCTCTGAGCCAGTCTAAGCTGAAGTATTTATCCACCGAGTAACAAAGCAATCTCCTCAGAACACTTAATATGGGATGGAAGAGTCTCTGGAAGCTCAGCCACCTCTGGGTTCCCTGGAACCAGCTGCAGGGCTGCCCTTCTCATTTGGCCAAGGGACTCTAACTGCTGGAGAAGAAAGAGCTTCGCTAAACTACTGTAGAGTCCGTGACACTTCTTCCTAATACTAACCTGTGCAGCTATATCCCACTGGGTAATCCCTGCTGCGCTTGGTCTTCCTCTCCACAAAACACGGCTCCTTCGCCCACCATGAGTCGATTTAGAGCAGGGGTGTCAAACTTGTGTCATCAGGGCATCACGTGATGTATTGTGAATTCCCCCCCCCCACTTCACTAAACTGGGCATGGGCATGGCCAGCATATAATGCATCTGGCCCACAGCCTGCGAGTTTGACAGTCCTGATGTAGAGCCATGGTGGCCAAGTGGTTATAACGTGGCTATAATACAGTATTGCAGGCTCCTTCTACTGACTGCCTGTATTTCGATTCTCACCGGCTCAAGGGTCACTCAGCCTTCCATCCTTCTGAGATCAGTAAAGTGAGGACTGATTGTTGGGGGCAATACAGGTAGTCCTCACAACAGTTCATTTAGTGACCCTTCAAAGTTACAACGGCAATGAAAAAAGTGACTTGCGACCATTTTTCACACGATCTTTGCAGCATCCCCCTGATCATGCGCTCAAAATTCAGATGCTGCGCAATTGCTTCATATTTATGACGGTTACAGTGTCCCAATGTCATGTGATCACCTTTTGTGACCTGACAAGCAAAGTCAATGGGGAAGTCATATTCACTTAACCGTTGATAAGTTACTAATTTATCAACTGCAGCAATTCACTTAACTGAGGCAAGAAAGGTTGTAAGATGGGGCAAAACTCTCTGAACAAATGTATCAACAGAAAATTTGGGCTCAATTGTGGTCGTAAGTCGAGGACTACCTGTATGATGCCACTAAACTGCTTAGCGAAGGCTGTAAAGCACCGTGAAGCGGTATACAAGTCTAAGTGCTATTGCTATTTAGAAGCAAGCAAAAACATGGCCGCAGCTTCCCCTTTTTTTTCCGGAGGTGTGAAGGAAACCTCGACAGTGCATTGCACTATAAAGGATCTATCGTTCGCTTTACAGAGTCATTTTGTTTTTATTCCTTCTTTGCTGCCTTTTCTCTCAAAGGTTCAGGGCGGATTACGTGGGTGCATCTTCATTTTAATCTCGCAACAATCACAATAAGATGCTTGGCCCAATAGGATGCTTGGCCCAATAAGATGCTCCCTGAGGACTACGCTCCCGGCCCCCCGCCATCTTCCCTTCCTACTACTACATTGCACCTGTCCCGCTTTTGGTTTTCGGTACCCAGAGGTACTGCAGGCGTGCTGTAGTAGTCGTCGCCCCCCGCCCGCCCCCCCAAATGAGCTCGTTTGCTTGGGTTGTGGAAGAAGCTTTGCTACGCTTAGGCTTCTGGCGCCCAGCTCGCCTCCCAAACCGCAGTCCGGTTGAAGATTTGGAGGTCAGAAGAAAAGCTTGCGAGCATCTTCGGTCTTCTTCCTCTTCAACAACCGGCCGGAGCGCTTCCACGCTCCCTCCGAAGCTATTTCGAGGAAGGTCAGGTCAAAAGCGACGAAATATCTCCTCCCCGGAACTGGAGGCTGGAGCCAAGCCGAGAAACGGGCAGGCCTATTGGCGAGCGGGAGCCCGGAGGTGGAGCCGCGCTCGGCAGAGCCAGCCCGCCGCTCCTCCACTCCGGTTACCCGGGAAGCCGTCGTACCTCATGGAGGGCTGGGCTAGGAGCTCGCTATGGGGGGCAAGGAGGCTGTGGGCTCCCCACGCCCACATGACGCGAAGCCGGGTGATTTGTGGGCGCCCCTTGAATCTCTGGGAGTCATCGGGTGAGTCCAAGACCTTTTTCCTCGCCTCTTAACCTGAGTGGCCTGGCCTCGGCTGCCTGCAATCGAGGGTAACTGCGGTGGAGATTTGGGGTTGTTGGCCTTTAAAATCTTCGAAGATTTTAAGGAGGAGGATGAGAAAAACCTCTTCGAAGAGTGTTCGGCAGCCTTTCCTGAGTTAACCGCCAACCTTGGGGTGCTTATCTTCAACCTCTCTTAAAAGCATCAGGTGGGAATGCTATCCCCGGTGATCTGTTTATCTGTCTTTGGGCCTCGGGCTTTAAATTGAAAGAAATCCCCCCCCCCCCCACTTTAACAAATCGAACATAGATGGCATCTGTTGCATTTTTGCCTAATTGGTCATTTTTGTCTGCTTCTGAGCCATTGTATTCCTAGGTGAAAGTTATGCAGATCCATTGGTATTTGCAAACCCTTTTCTTATGTAGCATCATTGTATTGGTTAAAATATATATTCTCACCCTGAACTATAAGAATGACAAAGTTAATACAGAATTGTGGTATTTTGGGATGATATGTCAGACTGGAGTAAAAATTTTCACAAATTTGAACAACTTTCTTTTTTACTTGCAGACATAGGTAGGCAAAAATTAATACAACTGTCATACAGAATTAAATTCTTACGGGCTAGTGACGGTAACATAAAAAGAACAGAGACTATCATCCCATTTTCAAATGAAGAAAAAGGTCCTTACTTGTAAACATGGCCAGTCAGTTATTGACTGACCATGTTTATCATTACTAGCAGGTAAGAATTTAATCCAAATGCTGCCTGACTTTTAGACCTCGTATAATCCTGCGATTAATGTCTTCTGTTAAAGCTAAATCTTCAGAGCAGAGATCTATTTATCCTACTCAGTCGGTGGTAGAGATAAGTAGTAAATGAAATAGAGTAAGACAGATAAATAAGTTTGCCTTTAGGTTTTGGGTATGTCTTTGTACATCATTAATCTGTACGTCACCAGTTGATTTATTTTATACAAATACCTACTATACATACATATTACAAAATACATTTGTAATTAATAAATAATTTTAATATTAGAAATTAGGGTGAGTGAGGTGGAATTTCACTAAGAATACCAACCACTATAAAAACAAACACGTATTTGTGACATTAGGTTAATGTCAGGTTTCTTGATAATTTTTGTTAAATTTTTGTTCAAAAATACATTTAAAATGTAAAAATAAAATTGGCATGCATATAAAGAAATGTCTTATGTATTATTAAGATAATCACTTCATAGTACACATATTTAAATCAAGATTTCCTGAATCCAGTATTCTATAAATGGAATTCCATTCACTCTCCTGTCCCCTCTATATACTGTATATTCTGTAAACATCTCTCCAGATTTCAGGAATGAATGGGAAATTGGAGAAATGAGGAATCTGGTTTGCTAATGGATTTTAGTCAATCAATATTTATTATTGGAATTAGTCTATGGTCACAAACAAATTTATTATGGCTTTAACAAATGTGCCCCTAAAATATATTTCTTGTAATCACTCTTTGGAAAACCTGTAAGTTAAAAGTATTGCTTTTTATCAGGTAATCACAGAAGTCAACATCAGATATTTCAAGAATCCTTTTCTATTAAGGTTCAGTTAAACTATGGTGAACTTGTAAATTTGACTAAAGTAAGAAGCAAAATGTAAGTATAATATTTTGATTTACTGGTAATTATTCATAATTATTTTTATGGAAAATGTGAAAATGTGTTTCATAATAAATTATCATTTGTAAGAACATTCTAGTTGTTCTTTTTTATATAGTGTTCATATGTAGGAAATTATAGTGCACTAAACTAATGCCCTCTGGATGCACTGGGACTTCCAGTTTTACACCATGATGTAAAAAAAAATATTGGAACTCCAGAAAGAGTGCAAAGAAGAGCAACAAAGATGATTAAGGGACTTGAGGCTAAAACATATAAAGAACGGTTGCAGAAATTTGATATGTCTAGTTTAATGAAAAGAAAGACTAGAATTGACATGATAGCAGTGTTTCAGTATCTAAGAGGCTGCCAAAAAGAAGAGGGGGTCAACCTATTCTCCAAATTATCTTAAGGCAGGAGAAGAAGGAATGGATGGAAACTAATTAAAGAGAGAACCAACCTAGAACTAAGGAGAAATTTCCTGTCAGTCAGAACAATCATGTTTTCCACAAAGTTATTTGTTGCACTTTACAATCATTTTTGTTAATTGTGTTTGACTTGATGAAACTTTTGTTTAGAAAATTTACAGGTCAACCATATAGCACTTGGCAAACAGTAGACCCAGAAGAACTTAGAAGATTCCAAAGGCTGGCACACAAGTGGTGGAATGAGGATGGAGAATATGCAGCCTTGCATTCTATGAATGATATTAGAGTTCCTTTTATTAGGTAAAATTTTAAAATATTTTCAATCTTTTGCCAGAAATTTGAAATTAGTTAAGAATAATCAACTTTTGAAATTGAATCATAACCTTACTTACTGTTTAGTTAAAGCTTATGTGGATCCCAAAACTAAAATATAGTGGATATAAAAAGTTTACACACATGCCAGTTTTTTTGAAATATAAAAAATAAATCAGACCAAAATATATCACTTCAGAATTTGACCCACCTGTAATATAACGTAAGTTGTACTATTCAGTTGAAAACAATCTGAAAATTTTGTAGGGGAAAAAGTAAAAAAAAACCCCATCTCTTAAAATTATATGGTTGCATAAGTGTGCACACCCTTAAAATAATACTTTGTTGAAGCACCTTTTGATTTTATGACAGCATTCAGTTTATCAGCATAGCTCATCTTGCCTTGAGAATCTTTGCCCACTCTTCCTTGCACAAGTGCTCCAAATCTGTGAGATTGTGAGAGCATATCCTTTTATCCAGCCACCACATACATTTTCAATTGGATTCAAGTTTGGACTCTGGCTGGACCATTCCAAAAGTTTGATCTTCTGGTAAAGCCATCCCTTTGTTACTTTGAGTATTTGTGGTGTTGAAAGGTGAAATTCTTCTTCCTCTTCAGGATTTTAGAAGCAGTCTTTAGGTTTTGTGCAAAATCGATTGATTGAAACTGTTCCTAATTCCCTCCACTTTAACTGAAGCCCCAGTTCTACCTGAAGAAAAGCAGCTCTGAAGCATAATGCTGCCACCATCATACTTCACTGTGGGTATGGTATATTTTTGGTGATGCAGTGTGTTCTTTTTGTACTAAACATATTTTTTGGAATTATGCCCAAAAAGTTCAACTTGATCTCATCAGACCATAACATATTTTCCCACATGCTTTTGTCAGATTTGATGTAGGTTTTGCAAAATGTAGCTGGGCTTGGATGTTTTTCTTTGTAAGAAAAGACTTCCATCTTGCACCCTACCTCACAGCCCATACATACAAAGATTATGGGAAATTGTTGTCCCATGTAGTACACAATATTTGCCAGAAATTTGTGCAGCTTCTTTAATGTTTCTGTAAACCTTTTGGCAGCCTCTCAGATGAGTTTTCTTTTTCATCGATTTTGGAGGGTCACCCAGTTCTTGGTAATGTCATTGTTGTGCCATGTTTTCTCTATTTGTTGATGACTATCTTCACTGTGTTCCATGGTATATCCAATGCTTTGGAAAGTTTTTGTACCCTTCTCCTGACCAATACCTTCCAACAATAAGGTTGTACTGATGCTTTGTAAACTCTTTGCAAACCTTTTGTTGTAAATGCCAGATAAATCCTACTAGAACAGCTGAACTTTATATGGGCTTGATCAGAGTCACTTTAATTGATGGCAGGTGTGTACTCATTACTATTTAACATCAGTTTGAATGTGATTATTTAATTCTGAACACAGCTACATCCCTACTTATAAGATGGTGTGCACACATATGCAACCGTGTATATTTTTATTTTCTCCCTGAAAAGATTTCAGTTTGTTTTTAAATGAATTGTATAGCTTATATGTTATAAGAAATGTGGAAATCTGAAGTGATTTGGTCTAATTTTTTTTTACATCTCAAAAACCTGCCATTTTAGTAGGGATGTGTAGACTTTATATCCACTGTATAATTAATGGTATATATATAAACTGAGAAGTCCGTTCCTGAATTTTACCATCACTCTTTGCAGGATGGTGACAATATTAATTAGGGAATATTGTAATTAGTTTCAGCTATTTTTCTGAGTAAATGTTGCTTTTGGAGGTGTGTGGTGGTAAATATTGTAATAGTGTATGTTGAAAACAAAGTTGTTGATAATAAATTGATTTTTCTCTTTATGACACTTTAAAAGAATAAAATGTTGCAGTTGTGGTAATATGCAAGAGTCTTTTTAAAAATTAAATCATATTTGTTTTCTATTTTGTATAAGAGATACTATATTGAATCTGAGAAACGACCATGAGCTAGGAAGCCCACTCTTTAGCATGAAGATCCTAGATGTTGGCTGCGGTGGTGGACTACTTACTGAGGTAGCAATTGCACTTTTGATGATGATGAATGTCCTTCTCTTCTGCCTTTAATTAATAGGAGGAAATGCTAAGCTTTTAAATATTTTTTTTATTTCTTTAAAAACCCTGTTTAGCTAAAGTTAACTATCTTTGAAACCACAAAGACATTTGCTTTCTGCATCATGGAAAATGGTGTTACATTTTATCCAGATTAGGTAGCTAGCAAGAAACATATTTATATTGCCATTTAGCGCAGGAAACCTGGTCCTTACTAGCCAGCAAAATACTTCATCAGGGGACTGTATAGCTGGCTTCACCATTGCTGATTACAGAGGGAACTCCACCATCTGCAGTAGGCTATTAAGATAGAAAGGAACTAGTATATGGCAAATGTAAGGGGACTTAATATGTCTGTGCTTTTGAAGATGTGCAAGCATTAGAATGACTCTATTCACCTGTGTGATTCCTAACTCCAAAATTGTGCATTTCTTGGCTATAGTAGAATGTCTCCCAAACACTACAGCATGGAATGAATGTTGGCTTTAAATTTTTCTGCTTTATTCAAATTTCGACCACATTTGCCATTAATCTATTTGAGTGATATTAAATTTCAGTTTTGGGCAGATGGCCCTTTTTTTCTCCTAAACTTTAAAAAATATTAGTATACTTAAATACTGTAATTTCAATTTAATTATAATTATGTCTCATTTAATCAATTAGAAAATAAGAGGCAGAATTAGTCTAAGGCAAAGGTCTAAGAAACTTTTTTGGGGAGTGGGTGGGTTTGTCAACATTTTAAGAATATCCAACGAGGATAACCAACAAAAAGTTCCATAACAAAATGTTAGGATTCATATTTTATTAGTGCAATATTTATTTTTAGAGGGCAAGGAAGCATGAGCATTATTAAGCTTAAGTAACTTTAGCTATATTTGTCAGTGATGTGGAGATTTTTTCATAGTTTAATACAGGATAAAATGACATTTATTTATGGTATTAGCCCTTAGCTAGACTGGGAGCTTCAGTTACTGGAATAGATCCTTTGGAAGACAACATCCGGACAGCAGAACTGCATAAATCATATGATCCAGCCCTTACCAAAAGAATTCAGTACAGAGCCTGTACACTAGAGGATATTGTGGAAGAGGGATCAGAAAAATTTGACATAATTGTTGCTTCTGAAGTAGTAGAACATGTGGCTGATGTTGAAAAGTTCATCAAATGCTTTGGCAAAGTATTAAAAGTAAGTTTAAAAAAATGATAAAGTACATCTCAGTGCTATACTTTTTTTTAACTATACTTTTTCCCCCCATTTATGTTTCTTTTTAATTTAGTGGCTCATTGCTCCAAAGTAAAATTTGGCTTATAAATTTGGCTTATATATTCTGATTATCTAGACTGAATACAGTCACAACCTTCATAGTGTTCCCTTTCTATTCTGAAAAGATTGATCTAGGCAATCTAGTGAATACATATGAATTTTATTTATTTATTTTGTACAGTATTAAATTTTTCCCTAGGGATTTGGGTAAATAGCATTCATTTTTTTCAGCTACGTGACTTTTTCCCCCAGTAGAGTCCTTTTATCCATATGCAGATTTCACTGACTTAAACTTTTTGTATTAACTTTTTTTAACCAAATCTTGCAATTATATTCTTTATATGCTTTTTATTGGTAGTTGTATAAATAACCAATTTGCAAATTGCCCTTTGTTTTACATTAGCCTGAAGGTTCCCTCTTTATTACTACACTGAACAAAACTCAGCTTTCCTATGTTTTTGGCATTATCGTTGCTGAGAAATTACTGGGAATTGTTCCAGCAGGCACTCATGACTGGGAGAAATTCATATCACCTGAAGAGTTAGAGCGTCTTCTGGAATCAAGTAGGTATTACATCTCAAGGAAGCAAGCAATCATATGGAATCCTTTAAATATGGCTACTTGTTGACTTTGAGTTATCTGTAATATGTTGCGTAAAGAAAACACTTTGGTCAGATTATTTTGAAAAATGAAAAGTTAATATCTGGTAGTGCATCTTTGTTCAATCTGGTCTCGTCCAGCTCAGCCAATTCATTGTTGGCATTACTGGTTGAGAATTCAGGGAGTTGAAGTCATAGCACATCTGGAGAATTCCAAGTTGAAGGAGAGGAAGGCAATTTGGTGCCTTCCAGAAAAGTTGATCTGCAACTTTTATCATTACTGATTCATAGGAGACTTGAATAAAGCTGATTATTTTACGGGGGAGATAAAAAATGTTTCTTGGCCATGAACTTGCTTTTCTAGGGCATATTTTATTCCATGTTAAAATTCTCTGATTAAGCAATTTTAACATCCACTCCACTACTACTACTGCTACTACTTTTTCCATATATTCCCCATTGTGTTCATTGTTTGTGTTTTCATAATCCCTTCCTCTCCAAATTCTTCATTTTTCAGTGGGAGGAGGGGAGAATAAAAAAAGTCAGCATACAAGAGATTGTTTTCAGAAATTGCTTTGGTTCTACCATCACCCCCCATACCCCCAGAGTGGAGAGATTGGAGAGGAAGGGATTACAAAAGAATAAACAGGCACACAATGGAGAATATATTGGACTGTTTGCATAGTGTACTTGGGACTCCCAACATCAGCACATTGCTTTCAATGTGTTTTCCCCACTGTCTGTTTACTTTCTCTCTCACCAATGCATATAAATACAAACTTTAGTTCATTTCCTGCTTTACCCCAATGCCAAGGTGATCATTCTGAAGGAGAGGGAGTGAGTTTGGAAGCAGACAAAAGCCAGATGTGTAAAACTGATTAGTCTTGCCACATTCAAGCTGGCTATCACAGCAGACCCAGGTGAGCTTTCCAAAAGGTGGAGGACTTGAGAAAAAGAAAGCACAGTCATGGTCACATGGTTTCCCACTTAGTGATCTTATCACTTAACAGAGCAGCTGGTCCCAATTATAGTTGATAAATGAGGGCTGCCTATAGCAATTTCACCATTGCAAGAGCTTGGAGACATTCAGTGTAAATGATACCTTTTGAAAACATAAATTGTCTCAACCTGTCCCTTTCTTTTCCTTATCTGCAGATGGTTTTTCAGTTAAGGTGGTCAAAGGCATGTTATACAACCCCCTTTTTGGATCCTGGAGTTGGATTGGAAACACTAGCATTAACTATGCACTCCATGCAATTAAATCAAGCCTGCAAGAACAACTGGATTTGAAGGAAGCCTCCATAGAGCATCAACAAGCAGAAGCTAACATCGGAACTGCTAGCTAAGACGAAGTCCATAGTTGCTACAGAAGCACGGAAGAAGATGTGATAAATAGCTGTAATAAATCAGTAAGGGGCAAGCAACCTTGTTTTCAAAGTGTTGGCTAAAGGATTTGCTGCCATCTCAGCATACATGGTAGAGGAATTATTGTTCATAGTATCAGATATTTATGGATAAACATTCTGTGCAACTTGCTGGAAGTCTGAAATAGTTGTCAGAATGATTGCTTTTAAAACTTTAAAATTATTGGCTTTTATTGCCATTTGTACAATCATTACTCAAATTCAACAGGTGGCCTATTTTTAAATGTAAAATCATATACATCGCTAACTTGTTTTTTTCCCCCAAGGTTCACTTCATCTGAGCATAATGTTACAGCTCTAAAGAGAGTGAGGCCAAATTCTATGTAAAGACCAATTCTGGGGGCCTAGAATTCATAATTGGAAGTTCCAAGTTACCCATTTATTCAGCTACTATAGGATAGGGCAGGGGTGGGCAAACTTTTTGGCTCGGGGGCCGCATTGACTTTTAAAATTTGACGGACGGGCCGGGTCAGCACAAGATACGATACATATAAAAAACTGCATTTGTTAACAGTTCCCCTTTTCAAAGCGAGGGGAGGAAAGAGTTTTGTTTTTTAAGTGGGAGAGACGCCTGCCGTACTCGGGGTAGGAAAAATAACTATTTTTTTCTCCGAGACATCCTCCAAAACTCAAGTTTGGCATCATAGTTAAATTTGCACAACATAGATAGATAGATAGATAGATAGATAGATAGATAGATAGATAGATAGACAGATTCTTCCCCTACGAATAAACGACTGTGTGTGTGTATGTGTGTATGAATGTACCCCCTCAGCTTACAAAAGTTGGCCACTTATAAGATAAAAAATAAATAAATGCCCACCCCCCAAAACATAACTCCTCCGGTGCCCACGGATAAACTGTGAACCACCAATTAGTAGCAGGGCTGACCCTTCCTCTTGAACCAACGTCTAATTGGGGGGAGCAGACCGGCCTTCAGTCTCTTGCGAGAAACTGCTGGCTAACCCTGCAAACCGCTTGCCGAGGTGTGTGTGTGGGGAGGCTTTCGCTTGCCTTTCCCCCCACCCACCGAGCGCCCATTCCGCCGCCGCTTTTGCCATTAAACCACGAGTCCTCCCGGGCGCTTGGGAAGCCCGCTCAGCAGGAAACATCTGCGCGCCTCTCCCAGGACCTGCCGGCTCCGCCCAGCCTCCCCTCCCGGCTTACCTTGAAGGCCACGGGGAGGGTCTTGTTGCATCTCCAGTGGGAAAGCAGCACCAAGCACAAGAAGTTGGGGCTGTCGGGCCTCACCAGTTCTCCCGGATGATCGGCCAGGACGTCCACCACCGAACACACCTCGGTCTGGCTGCGAGGTCCCGGGACCGGCGCGCTGAGGGCGCCGCTGTTCTCTCCCATCTTACCGCAGGGGAAGGCCATGGAGGGAGGTGTGAGCGCCTGCTGGTGCTCGGGTCTACGGGAATACGCATCACAACAGCGGGCGTTAGGGGAGGAAGGAGGTGGCGGCAGAGCTGCTGCTGCTGGCCGAGAGGTGAGGGAAAGGCGCGCCTAGGGCGCAGCGAGCCAGATGCCCAAGATCACACGGTGGGCCGCTCCGAAGCCGGGCGCAGGAGAAAACCGCCCCAGCCCCCCCTGTGCAGGTCGGGCCCTCGCCGCCACTGCCAGTCCCGGCCGCTCCGGCCACCAGTTGCTCCTTGGGGTGCAGCTTTTCCCATGGCCCCGTTGTGCTTCTCGTGCTCCTCGATGCCGGCGGTGCTCGGGGCTCAGGCGCCTCGGCGGAGGGGGATTCCCTGGGACCGAGAAATCTGAACCGGCTGCTGCAGCTCCAACGCGCCTCCTCCTGCCTCTCGGCTTCGCCGTCCCGTGGCTCTGGGTTCCAGAGTGCAGCCCCAAAGTCTGCCCGCCACGGTGGGGAGCCCGGAGGTGCTCAGCGGGTGGTTGGCCGAACCCCAGAGTGCTCCTTTGGTGCTGCCTCCCACGCCCCCTTTCAAATCAAACGTGGCTCAGGCGAAATGAAGCTGGGCTCTGTCGGTGGTGGCCGCGAGAGCAGCGCTCAGGGCTCCTTCTCCCGCAGTCACGATGGAGGGGCAGGGAGGCGAGCCGGCAGCATCCCGCGCTCCTCTCGGCTCGGCAGCTTCTCTCCCCGCGAAGGGACTGCGACGAGACCTCAACAGGTTTCAGCTCTCTTCGCTCCGCCGGGCTCCTGCCCCCGTTTCCTGCTCTGCCTGACAAGCCCGCCAGGCGCCCTACTTGCTCTCCACCACCCGCCCTCCGCCTCAACCACCTCCTCTCAACGCGTCTGAAAGCAGCCAAAAAGTGGCCGCGGTTACATACGGACCAATCTTCGGCGGGCCACATAAAAAAGACCAACGGGCCGGATGTGGCCCGCGGGCCATAGTTTGCCCACCCCTGGGATAGGGCCACCAAAAATTCAGATTACCACTAGAGGGCAGAAAAGTGATGCAATTTTTTTTAACTTTGCTGCCCTCCAGTGGCTATCTGGAATTTGAAGCCCAAATTTGGTAATGCTAATTGCCAAGCCTCACCTGTCCTTCTTAGTATTAACCCCTCCCTCAAAAAAACACCCCTCTTTTAATTAAAAAAGTGACATTGAAATGCTGCAGAAAGCATTTTGTCCCTGCCATCATCTTTATTTCTAAAAATGCAGTGGGAACCAAACAGGTTTCATGCATTTCCTTAGTAATAAAAATAGCGGGCAGCTGTAGACATCTACTCAGAAAAAAAGAACTGAAATAAACAGCGGTGGTAGAAAATTTCCTTTGTGTGTGGGCCTGCTAATTTGGTGCTTTGTTGCTGAGTTCATATGTATATATGTATGGATTTGTGGATAAATCTCACAGAAATCAATTGCAGAAGTGTCCATAATGGGTTGTTGAAATTTAAAATGTATCTGCCGCCCAGAACGCTTTAATGACAACTTGTGACTGGCTGGTACATTGAATGATATAATGGCTTTTAAACACTTTTATTAAATAAATCTAATTTGAGCTCACATACCATGCTAAGACAAAATACAAAGATAACATGGTTTAGTGTGATGTATGAGTCTGATTGTTACAGCTTTGGTTCATGACATTGATGCACACAAAGAGCCTAAGTACAGTCTTTGATGTAGTAAAGCAGAACAAGGGAATGGGATGCATTCTGTGAATTGTTTATTGGGAATATAAACCTTTCACGTTTTATCAAACTTTCTTCCCTTCACAGAGATTTTCTAGGTGTTAGAAAGTAATTTCACTTTTTCTATATCTGTTTCAGTAACTATCTGCTTTATGGTGGAAGGTAGTAATGGAGTGTTAAATGAAGAAATTTGGGACAGTAGGAAGGGGGAAATGATCCTAACTGGTGGGAGATGATCACAGCTTGCTTCTTTGAATGCATGGTTACTTTATGGGCAGAAAGAAACTATGACACCTGCAAATAGATCACGGATGGTCTAGTCAGATTTGCGCCACTGAAAAATACCTTTAAAGTGTTCAGTGTCTGGGTTCTGCCACTGTTTCATCTTCACTTTTACCTTGGCTACAAAAGTGCTCAGAATTATTTTGTTGGGTGTTGATGTAACATACTTTAAGAAACATGGGTTGCAAAATATGCTTCACAACGGATGAAGCATATTTTGTATTGAAAGGACAGTAATTACAGACCACTTCAAAAATGTTTTGAAATAGAAATAGCTAAGGTGTAGTCTTAGAAGATCTAAGATCTGCATTGCACCCATCATGTTTAAGAACAAGCACAACCATTTTAAGCATTAGCTAGCATAAATATTTTATATGAGGTTATAATAGAGCCTTTGATGCCCAGCAGTTAAAGTAATGACCCTTTTTCCATATATAGCAAAAAAAAGACAAGATTGTACACTTCAGTAGTTGTTTGCAAAGAGAAACTGTTTGCCAAGTTTAATTTATTCAGTGAACTTCAAGTTACTATATTCTATTTCTTGAATGGAGACTTCAGTGTCCTCTGCTCTGCCCTGTTAAAGTAGCTAAACTCGTGCATCTAAAGGATTTTATTCCTTGCCAAAGGCTGTCTTCAACAATATTATCCAGAAACTGATTTTGGAGAAGGCTCATGAATATTCCAAGCAAGTACCGGAGCAAATAACACCAGACATGTCACTGGAAGGTGTAATGACAAAACTGCATCTCACTTATTTTGGCTATATCATGCAGAGGAATTCATTGGAGAAAGCAATTATGTTTGGAAGAATTAGTGTAAAAGGAAACCAGCCCCCCAAAGAACACAGTGGCTGGACACCATCAAAGATGACACCAACCGGAGCATAGAACAAAGATGTAGTGCAAGATTGGAAGATGTGGCGACACCTTAGAATTGCCAAGAGTTGGACACAACTGAATGGATAACATCATCATCATCATCATAATTTATATTTAAACAATAGCAGTCCAGGGGGTGAGCAGATAAAGCCCTTTCTGCTTTGTCCCTAAATAATTAGCTTTTAGGATTTATGTATGTGAGGAAGAACTACTTCATACAAGCAGTTCTGCTATAAGTTTTCCCTAGTTCTCAAGAGCAAGGAGCAATGGGTACTACAGGAGTGCTGTATTATTCTCAACTTGAATTTTGGCTCGGAAGCAGTCGTCTTAGAAATGGTTTCAATTATTTAATCTGTTCCTGTTTGGGATAAACAATAAAGTGTTCCAAAGATACCTGAAAGCTGGTGATTATTTCACTGGATTATTTTAGAAACCAAAGGAAAATCCATCTTGGTAACCCAAAGAATTAAACCAAGCTTTTTATCTTTCGAGTAAAAGGTTGAGAGGAGATACCTTATTAAGATGTCACTAGAGAATATTAAATACTGTACGTATTTGCTAGGTAAAGAAACATCCTCCTCCACTCCTTACTATTGTTTGGAGCACTTAAGCTGATAAAAAGATGTACTAGCAGAGATAGGCCCCTTATTAATATAGCTTATTGTAGAATCTGGTTGTGTTGAAATAATGCTAATTAATAATGCTAATTAATCCTATTCTGGACATCTCAATAATGGCTGGATGATATTAGAAAATGTTTTAAGTAAACAGTCCCCAACTTTTGTGACTTGGCAGGCAGCTGGGGTGGGGAGAGGGGAACTGGGCTACACGGGCCAATGCCAATAGGCCACAGCCTAGTAGTGGGCCTCAGCCCAGGGGTTGCTTTAAGTCACAAGAAGGGATCCTGCTATAAACTTCGAGAGAGCAAAAGAAGTAGAGCAAGTTGTTCTTGGGTTTGTCTTTGGCAATCTTGCAGCTCAGATACTCAATTCTTTCATTCAAATTTGGCTAATTTTTGCAAGAAAAACTTAATGCGTACATTCAGTTGTATGCAATAATGGTTTTTCTGTGTGCAAAGACTTGCAAAGAATTAGGGATGCGGATGAGTACTTTCTGGAACTGATTCTTTCATGTGTAAGAATGTTTCTTAAACAAAAACGGAAACGTGAGAATTTGATTATAGAAAAGGCCAATTGCCTTCGTAAGAGAGAAATGGCTGCAATGAGTCCCAATATTAGGCTTGCAGAAGAAATGGAATGGCTTATATCATCCCACTTGCCACATTTCCTTGCTGTAAGAGATTTATTTTCAAAATTACCTCTCCTAACTCTACAGGTACAGTGATCTTGGACCCCCCAATTTCCCCCATGACCTTGTGTTGGGCCAAATAAAGCCTGCAGAACAGAAACTCAAATCTCCGAAAGATGAGAGCAGCGATTAAAGCTCGAAAGGGAGAGAGAGAGTGGGATACGGGGGTCGTATAAAATGCGGAAACACGTAGATGCTAAGCCACAAAGGTCGCCTTGTAGCAAACGGAAGCGATTATATTTTTGCTCCGAAGGTGCTGCTCACCGCTTGGAGGGGAGACCACGTGACACAATCCTTGGCTGATGCCACGAAAGATGCAGGACATAACAACAACAACAACAAAATGAACCAATAGAACAAGAGCTCCGCTTCCACCCGGAACGGTATATATCTCCTAACCATCCTTCGGTCTGCCTTCTTTCCCGGTGCCGGGAGCTCCCCCTAAAATCGTGTCCTTCGCTTAACGAGTGACCTCCGCCTTCCTCTCTCCGTTAATCTCGCTTGCTTTCGTGTTTAATTTTCCACGGACTGGACTCGCCCGCGGGTTTTTAGACAGATTGAAAGCCATGACATCACCTCCCTCCCTCCCGCCTCCGAGCGAAGACATAAAGACCGAGAGGTAGCGGCGAGGAAAAAGTACCGCCGCCGCCGCCGCCGCCGGGGATGGTGGTGCTGATGTTGCAGAGCTCGCCAAGGACACTCGGCAGAGCCTTCGCTGCCGCCGCGCTCTCCCTTTTCTCTTCCTCCTCCTCCTCTTCCTCTTCCTCTGTTGCCGAACTCCCGGCTTGCCCCTGCCGTCAGCACCTTGACGCCGCCCGGTTTCTACCTCATGCAGACGGCCCTGGCCTCGGTCGGTGGGCAAACGGGAGCTAGCAAAGCCCGCGTCGCGCAGCATGCCCTGGGGGGTTGGCTTCACCTCATCCAGGTCGTGCGTGGTGGATCTAAGCAGGAATCAGAGCCTTTGGTGCACGGGGTCCGACGATCACTTTTCCTTTTATGGGGAAATCCTTGCTTTCCCACTGCAGGATTACGGCGGGATCATGACAGGGCTGGGATCTGATTCGTGGTGGAAGAAAACCCTTTATTTGACTGGGGGGGCCCTGCTCGCCGCTGCTGCCTATCTGTTCCACGAACTCCTGGCTATTAGGTGAGCGAGAGACCCGGGGTTTTGTTGTTGGTTTTTTTGGAAGTCAGTCATAGATGCCGATAACACAAAAGGGGCCTGGTCTTGAAGATTATGTTTTCCTTAGAGCCAGGTTTTCTTTGACAGTGGGCTGGGAAGGCGTGGGGAGGGCAGGGTTAGGATACAAATAATCGGGTTTTAAGAATGCGTTCCTTAATTTAATTTGTTTCTGTACTGCAAAATCTACTTTGGATGCCAGCATTTAAGCCCCTGGGCAGGGCCCCTGGGCAGGGCCTCTGAACATAAACAGAGATTGTAAAAGAAATAATATCACCATAAAACATTAGGAGTCGACATTCAATTATGATCTAGTTTAGAGGACCAGTTTTGGTGATGTAAGTTAGTCATGAGTACTTTGTACACAAAATAGAAGTCTTCTTGTCAACCTGCACTTTGGATGGACACATCCTTGTAGCTTTCTCTGACAATAACAAACATGTTTTTAGTTCCCCAGTCTAGGCAAAGCCTATTGTATTCCTTAATGTCTCTCACGCAACATAGAAATCAGGCCTAGGCCTGTTTAGCTGCCATATTGGTTAGAAATATAGAAACAGGCCCACTACAAAGTTTCCCATGATCTTCACTGAATTAATGGAAACAACACAAGAACAGTTGTACAGAACTGTGGTAATACGATTTATACAGATTTGCATACTAAGCAAGTTAATATTTATGCTGAAATGTATTTAGTAAATACGAGATAGATGGTGATATTTAACAATAGCTGTTTCTATTTCCTTAAAAATACCTGAATTGGGTAAATGAATAAATAGAATGGGGGGGGGAGTGGGATGGTGGTGAAAATAGAAGAAGATTAAAGACATTTCAGCTGTTGTACATGGCTTTGCAAATTTTGGGATGATCAGCCTTTCCTCATTTCAAAGACCACCAAATTTTATGCTGCACTACACACCCAATCATCAAAAGTCAGTACTGTAGTGGGAAAGTCTGTTTTCTCTTTCTTTGTGTGAGAATTGCTAATCTTAATAGGAAACTGTTAAAACGCTATTTCCAACCTCCATTGTGACCTGCCTCTTTCTCCAAGGGTTTAGCATCCCTCTTGAAAAAAGGAAGAAATTCTGGACAACATTGAAACTATCCTATATTGTGATAGTTTTATGGGTGCTGATAAAAGTTTGTTGTGGTGGTTTTTGCCACTCTCAACTCTGAATCAACAAGCACTGAGTAATTGCAACTTTTAAAATACATTGCAAATGCTAAGACCAGTAGCTTAGCCACATAATTACTTTATACCCAGTATCAGTTCAGTTATTGGTAACAAATTACAATGTTTTAAAGTTCAGATTTCTCTTTATAACAGTTTTCTCTTCATTAACCTTAACTTCATTAAGGTAGTTCCCCATCCCCATAAACTGCAAATATTGGAGACAATAACTCATAAGAAAAAAAATAACCTTTTTTCAGACCAAGAATCATATTTGGGTTTAGAGTGACCTGCCGAGAGCCAAATTCCAAAAGTAGGCAGGACCATGGCAAATAGATGCAGCCAGGCAAAAAGTAAATTTTGGTTCATTAAACTTGCATTTATTTGAGTGAAATTGATGATGACTTCCTATGTATGTAAATAATTTTGTTTTTCAATCACATTAAAATTGACAGTTTTATGGAAACTTTTGGAGAGGCACTGAAAGACTATCCATCAAAGTCTGCAGGGAGGGTGAAACTAACCAAAGAAAACACTGCCTGTTTTCTATCACAATTCAGACTTTATTGTGGTCAAACATTTAGCAATGTTTTGCTAAAAGCAATATAAAATTTTAAAGCATACAACATAAAGTGAAGAAAAAGTAAAAATAGCTTTATGATCAATATGGTGAGGTCATGGTAACTTTTACAAACAGTAAAATAGAATTTGGCTCACATTCAGTGAAATTGAGTCATACAGATCAGTGAACAGCAGCATATAACTGAATGACCTGAAAATGTAAAAAAGGGAGTTCTAAAATATAGCTGTGCTATATATTGTTATGTTTTTATAACATGATTATGTTACAATGCTTTCAGTATTTTGAAATTCTGTACCAGTCTTAATATAAGTGATTTTACCTCTCTAATTTCCCTTCAAGAACATATTTCCATCGAATTCTATTAAAAAATGCTAGCTTTAATGTCCTGCTGAATTTGGAGATAGTTATTTAAACATTTTGCGGGAGCAACTATTGTACTCAAAAACACCTCTCTAGAAAAGGCTGACAGATTTAATTGCCCTTCTGTGCCCATAACACGTAAAACACTTGACACTGCTTACTTGTATCCCAAGTGGCACAGCTTTCCTTTGGGCACCACAACATCTCATGCATGCACCAAAGGGGTAGAGTTGTGGCACGATGCCAGTGTTGCTTTTGTCATTTTAATGGCACTAATTCATATCTCTTCAGAAGAAAACACCTCTAAGTTCAAGGCAATATAGTACGATAGATATATGACTTGAGAATTTGTAGGGTGCTTCAAGAAAGAGGATTCCTAGAATTACCAAAGTCCAGCTCTTCTATCTTTTGATCTTCCAGTGTTTTTTAAAATCATGGTAAATCTGAGGATCAGTTTATTTGGAGCTGATTAGATATATTTGTTTTGTTTCATTTATATTGTCCTTGTCCTGCATTTCCGCCCACCCCCCTTTCAATTTTATTTTCACAATTACTCTGTGTGGTAGGGTAGACTGCACTGATGATTTCTCAAAAAGCAATTAAAAAGGATTATATAACTGGGCAGAGATTCAAAGCTGGGTCTATCCAGATCGAGTCTATATTAGCATTGTTTCACATAGTACATTCTGAATAATATATTTGTGGTTGTTTTGATGTTAAAAATTGGCTAATCAGGTTTTGAACTCTCATCAATGATACATTGCAAAGTAAGATTGGTGACAATCATATCTGCATAACTACTAAATTATCTCCCCAGTATAATAAAGTATAAAAAAGGAAGTTGATATTAATTTAACCAGTTAATGCCTAATGTGAATTGCTTTATATTCTCATGACCTGGTTATAAAATGGTCTTAATATGGTATCCAAACTTTCACGAATTGCTAGTGGAGACATTGAAGCATACATTTTTACGTATTTGATTAATTAATTGTTTTACAATGACTAAATTACAAACATAAACAATTATATATAATTGTTTTAAAGGAAATCATTGTATATCTTTCTTACTTGGGTATTATATGTCTTCCATAATGGCTCATGGGATTTAGATTTTTGTCATAGAAAACTCTTAAATGTGTTTCCTTAAGGCAACAATTTAAGGCTTGTTTGAAGTTTCATCATAAATCCAGAATTCTTAAATATCTGAAGAAAATAGTTAGAAAAAATTAGTATAGGTGATTATCCTACCTTTAACCAGGGGTGGGATTCAACTGGTGTTACTACTGGTTCGGTGACTATTTTTTGCTGTAAGTGCGTGTAAAAAAACCCATCAGCTGTGCGCCCGGACAGCTGAAAAGAGCTGCACGCGGGTGCTCAGTGTTTAAAAAGCCTTTCCCCCCCTGCTTTTTCAAACTCAGTTGTGCCACGCAAAGCAGCTGAGGTTCAAAAAGCAGGAAATAAAGGACAGGTAAGAGCCCAGGCAGGCTGGTGGGCCAAACAGCAGCAAACACAGAATCATTTTGATGTCTGTTGTTCTTCAGAGCTACCGGTTCTATAGAACCGGGCAGAACCGGTAGCATCCTACCCCTGCCTTTAACTGATCTGATTTATGTACTGGTTGATTTTTAAATCCTAATCAAATGCATAGTTGATTATATATTTGAGAGTAAGACCAAATAAATTCAGGGGGCAGGGCTTGAACAGATATGTCTAGCATTACCTTGTAATAGCACAATCCTAATCATGAATAAATCCCACTTAATAGGCTCTTTTCTGAAAAGGTACATATGTACTGCTATCTTGAATTACATTACTGGAGAATATATTTACAGCATTGAACTCAAATTAATCTCTAAGGCAACTTGTGGTTGTTGTAAAGCTGGAAAGAACTTAAAATGAACTTAAGAGAATAAGGAATGTTCTGGTTAGGTCAGCCCTTGGGGGTAGAACAGACTTTACAAGAATGTCCGGAGGTAGGCTATCATAACAGAATCTTCAAAGCTTGACTGTGTTTTCCCTTCTTTCCTTGTTATACCCCAGGGTGTTAAGAGGGAATCGCTATGAATTTCTTTCTGATGTTTTCTTTGCTTCCCAGGCTTAAGAAACAAGAAACATTATACGGACTGCACCAATAGAGGCTAAACCAATTTTGTTGTATACAAGATGTACAATGACAATAAAGGCTTTGAACTTTGAACTTAAAAGATATTTTTGTAATTGACGAAAGGTCATCTCTGTGATTCTCCATAGATTAGTTATGTGACTCTAGCTGCTGTACCCCAGGATATTAGATTGTTTGGTCTAGTTAAGGTGTTAGACTAGCACCAGAGAGATTTAAAGTCAAATCCACCTTCAGTCCACTGAGTGATTAGGTGCTGATTGCTCTTTCTAAACTCAACCACAAGCGTTCTTGTGGGAAGAAAGGAGAGAGGGAAGATTATGTATAAGAATTTGAATTTTGGAAGCAAACTCAGTTGATGAATATAACTAAAATATCTCCATAAGGCATTGTAGTTTTTATTATTGCTGCTAAGTAGCATTCACCAATTCAGAGTTCTCCAGATAAGTGCAGACAGTTACAAAAAGAATTCCTGAACTCCGTGACCATTAGTTACGTTGGGTGGGAATTCTGGGAATCCCATTAGTTCAGGACAGCTCTATATCAGAGAAAGTTTTTATTTGAGAACCATGGCTTCAAATTGTAATTGTTATGGGGTGGTACCTGGTGCAGCAATCTACAGGTAAATTTATTGATTAATGGGAGGAGATGGTCCTGGAAATTGTTCTGACAGATTAATTCTGCTAGGTAAAATAGCCATCATTTGCATAAGTCACATAAAATAGACACCTGTTATATCTAAAAGCTTTGTCCATCTATGCAAAATAAAGACAAATCAGGGTAGCAGTATAGATAATACTAAACAATGTTTTAGCTATTATGGAGTATTGATGGAAATCCCATATGCAGGGTTGTGCTTGGATGTTATTTATTTTCATAGTCTTAGTCTATAATTTAGTCCAGTTCTGTTATTTTTTATGCTGTTCTAAATGAAGAAGGGAATGTGAACCTTTCAGAGTCTTGTTGGATTGGAGTGGCCTTTAATCCCCAGTAAATAAATAAAAATAGTTAAATAATTAGAATAAGCTAACTCAAAGTAGGGAAAACATATCTTTATGCTATATTTTCCGCAAGCTTGTAGTATGGATTGATCCTGAAATATGATTTGTGTTGGCCTGAGTCATCATAAAAGCATATTCTTGTAACAGCAACAATCAGTCAGTGTTTCAAAACATCATTTGCTACAGAGTGTGTTTGAGAACAGTATATATAGCAATAAAGCCACTGACATATTCACTTACAGTGTAGATACGAAGATCCCTCATGAATCTTGTACCCATTATGAGCAGCACAGATAAGAACACAAGAGTCTTTTTTGCTTCTTGTTGGAATCTGCCAACCAGAAGGAGAATCTGGTGGAGGGTTGTGTTCTCTGGATCCCAGTTCCCAAACAAAGAGAGATTGTGTATTCAGCCTCAATTAATATTCTGTTGCAAAGCAGAGCTCAGAAGCCTGCGGATCACAAGTTGTCCCAAGCATTCTCACCTCTCTTTCTTGTTATTAATAAATTAAGCCATTGGACCAATTCATTAAACCTTTATAGGGTTGTCTGGCATGTTTACTGAGCAAGACCCTACATCCCACCCCAAAATACAAAAATAAAAAATAATAAAAATCTAGCTCCAGAATAATAAAAATCTCTCTCTCTTTCCTTGAACCTGTAAATAAAAGGATGACCAAGTGAAAGAAAGTTGGCCATATTGTAGAAGATGGAGTCTTCAAAGGACCAAGATTGTCCCACAGAATCATGGGTGTTATGAGAGTTTCTCTCAATGGTCTGCAAAAAGGAAATAGTTCCAGGAAAATCTACAACAAGCCATTTTTGTTTTTATTGCCTCAGAGGAAATTGAAGAATCCATAGGTTGGTGTGACAAAACTTCCTAAGAAGGATGAGAGAAGGGTGAATAGAAAAGGAGATTGTTTTTGCTTTCTCTTTCACTAGTTTTGTCTTCTTAGTGGTGTTTTTTTTTTTGAAAAATAATTTATATTTCAGCCTAAAAGCCAATGTCTGCTCTCAGTCTCTTGGTATTGATGTAATGTTTATTTTCTGGAACTGAAGCTAAATTTTGGTCCGGTCTCCTGGAAGTTGGCTGGAACATATCCACATCAAATTCTGAAACTGGCATAATGCATTATTAGCCTATTCTGCTGGAATAAGATTTTCCCCTAAGTGATGAGTGGAGGGAGGGAAAGGGATTCAAGAATTAAGGTACGTGATGACAAGGGTGTTGTGGCTGAAATGCAGAATCATGCATATGATATTTGTAAATAATGCAACTGATTGTAATGACGAAGTGTTTATATACAATTTGGCCTTTTTCTACTTGGGCAGGGATTTAAAACGAGAACTAGGATTATAAAGCAATCATGGTTATTTTGCATTTTGGGGCACAAATACAAAGGACCATCAAAAGTTGGTACTTGGCTATTGAATTTCAGTATGAAGTCTTGGAGGTGTTACATAGTTCTCTAGTCATGGGTTGTTCATCCTTGTACTAAGTCAAAACAAAAGCAAACCATACAACAGGTGGTCACTTAATTTACAGCCACTTGTTTAGTAACCATTCAAAGTTACAATGGTATTGAAAAAACTGGCTTACAACCAATCCTTGCACTTATGACCATCACAGCATTCCCAAGGTCGTGTGATCAAAATTCAGACACTTAGCAAGTGGCAATATTACAACAGTTGCAGTGTCCCAGGGTCACATGATCACCATTTGCCACCTACCCAGCTGGCTTCCAAGAAGCAAAATCAATGGGAGAAGCCGGATTTGCTTAAACAACTACATGATTTGCTTAACAGTTGTGGCACAAAGGTCACACAGTTGGGTTGACTCAATTGCCTTAGTTAGCTATGGAAATTCTGGTCCCAATTGCCCAATTGTAAGATAAGAGCTTTTTGTATGTCATAGCATAGTGTGTGTGAATACAACAAGATAATCAAAGGCAGTACTGGCAGTATGGGAACAAAGGTCTATAATTCTCTTTGAAATGATCTTCTAGTTTATGAAGACATCTGTCTTGGTATCACAACAAATGAAACAATTGGATGAACAATGCGTTGTATTCTAATGCCTTATGCAGGGTGATGTCTCTATTTATCAATAGTTCAACTAAATTCTGCATGTTTTATCTGGACTTTGAGAGAAATGCAACATAATAATTACGCTGTGCTTTTGGTGTGTACTTTTATTTTTAAAATTATGAATACTCATTTTAGTTTTTCTTTATTATGTAGTGGCATGGGCTTTTTGGGGAAAGAACAGAATAGAAATAAAATGAATAAGTAAAATAAATAATTATTTTATAACTGACCAATTAAACTATCTACAGTAGTAAAACTAAACAATCAACGATACTAAATGTAGAACAGTTTGTTGATTTCTGTATTGTGAAGTCCAAATAATAAGTTTGTCCCCAGCAAGATTGCATTCCTAGTTAACATTTATTTTGAAACCATTTTCCACTAAGTTAAAAGACTTGGATTAATTATGGTACAAGGCTAATTCAGTAGATATAAAGTAAATTCATTTAATACCGTAAGGTATTGAAAGAAATAATATAGAAATAAAACCCAAGTCAACGTTTAGCTGAATAGTTTAGGATTAAAGTTGCAAACTTTGTCTACTACAAGCCTGTATTGTTTTAATTAACTTTAATATTCATACGCTTTTAAATTACTGTAGCATGATGTTTGCTATATGATATCAACTAAATGGACTTGAACCTACAAGGCAAGCCATACCTAGAGAACATTATTATTATTATTATTATTATTATTATTATTATTATTATTATTATTATTATTATTATTATTATTATTATTATTATTATTTTATTGTAATCATAATCACATCACCATACACACACACACACACAAATAAATAAGTAAAACTTGGAAAGGCTTGTAATTTCCAATACAAATTCAGTTTGGCTTATTGGATTACTTTGCTATTACAAAGTGCCTCTTAGAAACTTAAGAAATGATAAATAACAATGCCAGTAATCTCAGACAAGACAGATAGAGTTCCTGTCTGAGCAACTACAATGTAGTTTTTGTGTGTTATGTACTTTGATGAATATCCAAGATGTAATGTTTTCTGCTTTTTAAACTTTGCTTATTTTTCTTCTAGGAAAGAACAAGAAGTCGATTCAAAAGATGCCATCATCCTACATCAATTCTCAAGGCCAAATAATGGCATTCCCAGTTTATCTCCTTTCTGCTTGAAAATGGAGACTTACTTGAGGATGGCTGATTTGCCTTACCAGGTAATCTGGTGTATCATCAACTTTAAAGCAGAATTATTTAGCTTCCCTAACTCGATGTAATTTAGTGTTCTTTTTGGTTCTAAATATATAATCAGAAGCAGTAGCATCTGCAGTGTGAGGGTGTCAAAACTAGGAAAGATTGAAGATAGAGGATTATGATGGAAGCTCCACCTCTGTTTTTGAATGTCCATGTGGCAGTTACAGATGGACAAAAAGAGTGGGAATTCCATCATAACTCTTTGTTTGCTACCTTTGACATTCTCATCCAATAGGTGCTGTTTAGAAAATTATACTATTTGTATCTTAAAATTATGCAAACGAAATAAAATAAAGCATATGGAAATATCTATGTGTTATGTACACTTTTCAGGTTTCCTGTATTATTATTGCAAGATCCAATCTGGGCTGGTCACTGGGAAAAGAGGTTTTGTCATCCAACTTGGGCTGGAGAACATCTTTAGGGAACTTAGCCCTAACTCTAGAGAGAAGTTCTCTGAAGATTGGCTCCAGGATGCATCTGAAAGCTTGGAAGACAAAACTTCTGGTCCGAGTGACCAACCCAGATTGGATCCTGCAACATTATCCTGAGACACGTATATTTGCCTTCATTTGTGTATTATTATTACTACTTGTCGTAATAGTAGTAGCAATAGTAATAACAGTGGCAGGGATACTATTACCAATCCTCTGGTAAGATCTTGTTTCTTAAAAAGTCCTTGATGGTGTTCTCCTTCTGTCTTTATAGCTACCACATGAAAAGTATATTTTTTAAAAAATATTTATAAAAATGTTTTCATAATACAAAAACCCAAATAAGAACACATTAGAACTGAAGAAGCGTTTTTGATGAACCGTGAAATGTCTTCAATGAAAAACAAAGGAAGTCCAGTTGACTCTTGAAAAAGCACCTTTGAGATAAAGAACACATGGGTGCCAGCTTAAGGATCATTCTGTGAGGGAGGCAGTTCCTAAATATGATTGTTAGATAAAGTAATTAATAGATATAGATATATAAATAAATAAAAAAGGAATGTTAATACACGTTAACTAGCACAGTTTTTAAAAGCCTAGGGAATGAAAAGGGATTGCTTGTTTTCCACTTGCACATTTGAAAAAGATATTTATCCTGCTGTTTTTTCATATAAAGCTGAAAGTGATGAACATACCAATACTCCTTCCTTCTCCCATTTTCCCCACAACAACACTTTTTGTTAAGGATTGTCATCCCAAGATGTTAAAGAGACTGCAGCAGAGCCCAAAGACTGTATCTTTCCTTTTGTCTTAATACTTACTGAACTAGTCAGAGAGACGTTTTGGCTTTCTATACTGTCCTACCTCCCAGATTTGAAATAGATTGCTTTGCTGTAGATTGTTTCCCTATGCTTCATGATAGAACCTACCTCGATCTTAGGGGCTCTTACATCTGGGCTATGAATGACCATTAGATGATACCAGAGAATCAGTATTTTCTGTATTTTGGGGGGGATTTTGCAACCTCAATATCAGGAGAGAGAGAAGAGAGAGGAAAGGGGGGGGAGGGAGAGAGAGAGGGAGGGAGGGAGATTTGGAACCCTTTATTTTGACATTTGTGCCAGAGAAAACCTGATTTAATATGCAAACAGGTTTGAGATGCCATTAGGTGATCATGCCAATTTTATGGAGGAGTGAAATTGAATTCATTGCAAGAGCTGAACCTGACTTAGCTTCCATGTGATTGCTTTATTTTTGTTTTGTTGTTTTGCTTCACAGAACTACTTTGATGGAAAGCTTTCTCCCCAAGGGAAAATGCCATGGATCGAATACAATCGCAAAAAGGTATCCGGCACAGAGTTCATTATTGATTTTTTGGAAGAGAAGCTTGGAGTGAATTTAAACAAACACCTTGGCCCACATGAGAGAGCTGTTTCTAGAGCAGTAACAAAAATGGTGGAGGAGCACTTCTACTGGTAAGTTGACATACGAATAGGAGTGCTCTTGAAAGAATTAAAGGATGTAGCTGCGTTTAATGGCCCTGTGAGACATTTACAGTGGACCACATACTTTTTGTGAGGTGCATGCAGTATGTGCAGTGAGCCTGCTGCCAATGTGTTTCTCCCTTTGGCTACCTGTATGGCAAGACCTTAAGGGAGATTTTGTTCAAAGTACTTGAATACACTTAGACTTAATGCACATTTGGAAGTTCTCTGTTGTAAGAGTCTCTAACCCCATGGAAAGTTTTACCCACTTTCAGAAGAAGATATCCGTCTCTCCAATTTAACCCTTGTAACTAAGCATGTGGTGCCTGGGCCTGCTGGCACACATTAACCAACTTTTTGTAGCCCCAATAGGCAGGGACATAATAAAAAGTGGGATAAATGAGGAATAAAACCAAAGGGAAGAAATTAAAATAAATAAGAAATTAAAACCCCTATTTAAAGGAGAAGTGAGTGAAAACGTGCATAAAACACACACACACACACACACACACCCCTACCACTTTTTAGATTTTGCAATGACTCTCCAAAATGTGCCATTTCCTAAGTTTATATCCATTAGTTTATTTAATGGGCTAAAAAGGGATGCAATAGTTATAAAACGATTAGATGAAAAATAATAAAAGTGACTGAAAATTTATAGCCCCGTTTCCTGTCATTAATTTGCACCCAGATTATTCTTTTTTATTATTCTTAATTCGCATTGAGCCAACAGAATGTTTTCTTCTTCCTGATGTGGAGGATTGATGATAATGAAATACGCAAAGCACCGTAGAGGGGTTTCGTGTTTCTAAAAATACCTTGTCTTATGTGGAGTTAATGTTCTTCCCAACCAAAGTGTTTCCCAAAATAGGCTAATGCATCAATTAGTTGATGGGGTAGAAGGAAGAGATGAAAACACAAAAACACTCTGCTGAAGGGAGGTTTGCTATCAGAATATATGGTCCAGGGTTTGAGACGGTGCATATTTGTCTTTCACAAAACTAGCAGGTGCAAGTTGAAGAACAGAATTCAACGTGTACCTTTTGAAATATGCCTGCAGGCAAATGCAGAGTCTTTCTCTTGGTTTGTTTGAAAGGATAGCTTTTTGACAAAAGCATTTGGAACAGTTTTAAAATTATTTTCTAGCATCCTGAGGGCTCTCACGCCCCTTGCATATCAAGTGAATAAGGGGGGAAAAAGATAAATGAGTCAAATAGTGTATAAGGAAGAAAATGAGATGGAACCAAAATACCTGCTTACAAATGCAATTGGTAGGTTCCTGGTAATTTAAGGAAAACACATCAGCGCAGGTCAAATGTAAAATACTTTTACATCTTTGGAATCTTTCTTAAGCCTTCCTGCTCAGCAGCAGAGGCTCAGGCCACAGGAGCAAAGGACAAATCACTCCCTTGTTATCCCGCTTTGTACGTGCCTCTATTGATGCATGTTTTTTTCCTTCCATTTGAATGAGATGCTTCTCTTTGTAAATAATTAAGATGCAAATCCGCAAAGTATCTGCTCTTTCTCCTGGTGTTTTTCTCTCTTCTCTCCAAGCTCTCGGCAGATCTAATTTGTATGGGTCAGTGTGCTCTGTCCTGGATGAACCCACTAAAAAACAAGGAAATAACTCAATGTGGGTCATTTTGTAGCTATTCCCGAATGATTTCTGCTAGCACTAACAAAACTATTGAATTCTCAATATCAATCTTTTCAAGAGTTCTCAAAATCACCTGGCCGGAGTGCCTGATAGGTGTATTTGGTGTTACAGGTAGTCCTTGACTTATAGCAATTTGTTTAGTGACCATTTAAATCAGAAGTCTCCAAATTTGGCAACTTTAAGACTTGTGGACTTCAACTTCCAGAATTCTGGGAGTTGAAGTCCACAAGTCTTAAAGTTGCCAAGTTTGGAGACCTCTGATTTAAAGTTACAATGGCACTGAAAAGAATGACTTGAGTGACTGTTTTTCAAACTTATGACCATTGCAGTATCCCCATGTCATATGATCAAAATTTGGATGCTTGGTAACTGGTTCATATTTATGAGCATTGTAGTGTCCTGGGGTCATGTGATCACCTTTTGCGACCTTCTGACCAGTAAAGTCAATGGGGAAGCCATATTGATTTAACATCCATGTTACTAGCTTAACACCCGCAGTGGGTCACCTAACAACTGTGGCAAGAATGGTCGCAAAATGGAGCAAAACTCACTTAACAAATGTCTCATTTAGCAACAAAAAAGGTTGGGTTCAATTATTGTCATAAGTCAAGGATTTCCAGTATTTATATTATGCAAAGCCTGTTTTATGAGAAAGGCCTGTCATCAGCCATAATGGTCTGCATTCCCTTGTCCTCACTCCCAGCCAAGTTCTCTAACATCAGCTGAGGTAATTTAACTTGATTCAAAAGTTGTGAGCAAAGGGAGAGGGAGTAGATAAGCTCTGTCAGGATGTGACCTGACCTGATCCCACTTAGAAAATACTCTGGGCTTTATAAATATTTCATCCCGCATATTGTTGGGAAACTACTGAGCCTGTTTTCATAGCATTCTCTCTCTCTCCTTTTGAAGCTAGGGTTTATTCTGTGACATATTCAAGAGAGGGCTATGTGAGGTTACTGCTGTGAAGGAGAATTAACAATCCCACGCAACATAATTTTCACACTCAAATATTTGTGCCATCTGTTATTATCCATCTGTATGACAATTCCTTTGCTTCACAACTTTTTCCTCGTCATTCATTTGCAGTTGCTGACATTGGAAGAGCAAAAAGGGATCAACTCATTTTTACAATAGAGGTTGTACTTTCATCAGTTTTCCATAGATAGAATATTTGTTTAACATCAAGCAGCTTCATCCTGCTCTTCCACCAAAAATCACCTAGAAGGCTCACCAACAGTTATAAACATGAGATGCTTGATACTTACAAGCCAGCAATCTAAACAATATGTTTTTTTCAAAATGAAAAAAGGGGGTTGGGAGCAAAGGAAAAAGGAATATATGAAATGGGAGCATCAATCCTTAAAGTTGAAAGAGAACGTGAGGTGGAAAGTAGCACTAGATGTGTCCAAAAAGTGACCAAGGGCAAATATTGTAATGTGGGCATATAAAATCCTTTCATAAGAATTACAACCATGAATTCTCCAACCTGCATTCTTCCAGTTGTTTTGGATTCCATCTCTGCAAATGCTCACCATTTTTATAGAGAAGTCCAAAGTATCAATAGGATATTAGTTTGGAGGAAGCTGCAGTAGACCGTTGAACCATTTCTACTTCTGCATGAAAATCTTTTAGACAAACCTCAGTCTTTTAAAGAAAATGTTGCAAATTTTATTAAAGCAAATAATTTAATAAATCATTTAATTACCCAGTTCCCCCCCCCCCACTCCCTTTTTGAAAGTGCAGTCAACAGTAAGACGTTGTAGTCCATTCTTTCCTAACCTGGTATTTTCCATAAGAGCTTGACTGCTAAAGTTTGTTTCTGAACACAAAGATAGGTTGGTGTTGCTCGATAGCCAGTTGGTGCTTCTTCTTTGAAGTGCTTTGTCCATCTAGTACAATAAAGTCAACGGTGGGGAAGCTGCTGTCTTCTCATTTTCTGTATTTCTTTACTGCAGTTATAGCACTGCTGGAAATCAATGTTGTGGTTGTCTTCAATGTTTAGGACCTTAGCCTATTGCCAATGGGTGGACAATCTCCATGAGACCCAGAAGATGCTTTCTCTTGGTGGTCCCTTTAGTGACCTACTGAAGTGGATTCTCTGCCACATAACCAAAGGAATTGTGAAGCGGGAAATGTACGGACATGGCATTGGCCGCTTTTCTGAGGAAGAAATATACAAGCTGATGGAGAAAGATATGCGCTCGTTGGCCAGTCTTCTGGGTAATGAATAGTACATTTCATTAAGTTCTCTAGGCACAATCTTTCTTCTTTTGCAATTTCTGGTATTTGGTTAAACTTCAGATTATTACTTTTAGCTAGTCATGTGACTGTTGTGAACTTATTGAATTTACATGGGCCTGCATGACTAATGACCCATTCAGTTAAACTGGCATGAAGTACAGAGAGTCCTTGACATTGTTGCCACAAAAAAGGTTGTAAAATCCAATAGGCCACATGACTGACCCATTTTACAACCATTAAGACATAAGACCATAATGGGCAGGCTCCATTAAGGGTCTGTGTTGAGGACTACGTATATTATAGTACAATTTTTCCTGTTCCACTGAGAACAATCCTAACTAAAGTTTCTATTAAGTCAGTATTTCTCTGTTATACTGGCTTAGTTAAACATTTTTGGAGTTAAAGGGCCACAAACTGTGCAGGCTATATTTTAACATGCTATTCTTCAGCTTGGTACTGAAATTGACGAGTCACTTCAGTAGTAATACTTACTTATGATTTATTTGATAATTAACTCTCTGCAAGAATCAGTTTGACTTACCTACCCAAATTGTTTGGAAGTATTATTCTTTGTGCAGTTCCTTGTGTAGCTTACAGTACTGCAATTCATTGGAATGGAATGAGTTGACATGTACAAATCCATTGAAACTTGAAACTTCTAACTTAGAATGAAGAGTTGGCCCAAGTCAGAAGCTGTCAAATTCCTTTCCAGAAACCTTTTAATTTCTTGAAAGGATATGAAGGCTCCTGGCTTATCATTATGGCATATGTTCATCAATACCTCTAATGCACAGTTTCCGCATTAAGGTTTAATATGAGACATTATAAGAAACATTCATTTTATTTAATAGCACAAGGTTTGGAAAGATTTGCACATGTCATTTGTACTTCTATAACTGTCTGGTTTAGTACAGCAACCAACGGATAATTAAGACTGCAGAAAAAACTATTGCAACCAGCCTGCCTTTCACAGAAGACCTGTATACTGCATGGGTCAGAAGGAGGGCTAAAATTTTTTTGAGATTCCTCACATCCTGGACATAAACTGTTTTACCTCCTCCCCTTGAGACAGCTCTATAGAACCTTGCATGCCAAAACAAAACACATGGACAGTTTCCCCCCCCCCCCCTTGTGCCACCTTTCTGCTCAACACCTAATTCATACAGTGCTATCTAATGTCTATGTATATCTACCCAAGTAGTATGGCTATAGTATTATAATTTATCCTTCTTATTTTCTTCTTTACCACCCCCTCATATTGGTATTATGATGATAATTATTATTATTATTCTGTTGCTTTGCATGTACACTAAGCGCTTCTGCACCCGAGATAAATTTGTTGTGTGTCTAATCATACTTGGGCAAAGAAAGTATTCAATCCAATCCAATCCAATATAGTGTTGCCTGTTAAATCTGAATCACATCTATGCGAAGTAACTTTCTGATGAAAGAGACAGCAAATCAGAGGTTACTGGAGGCCTGTATCAGAATTCTAAGATTCAGATTGTTTTCCAGAAAGTATAATGAGTTATTATAAAACTCCCCTGTCATTAAAAATAAAAACCGCTTTGAGTCACCTAAATGTTCAGTGCCTATTGAAGCCCTGTTGGAGAAGCTCCATGGCTGAGTTGAGTCACATGAGTTGTTCCTTGAAGATACAGTTTTCCATTTCTATCAGCAAGGTTGATTAATTCAGTTCCATTCCAACAATGACTGAGGGATTGTTATTCCCATTTATAGACCGTGACTGTTTGGCGTGATATCATTTCCACTGCAAAAAGTGCACAAGGAATTTCTTTGGGCAGGAAATACATAGTGAGATATTGCATTGTCCAAGAATTTCATACTGCATAAGCTCTTACTTTTGTTGGCATTGTGAGGGAATGGTATGTTCCTGGGATTGGGCATCATCATCTGCATTTTGCCCAGTCACCTGGAAAGACTACTGCTTACTGGCTAAAAAAATGTTGTTTGAAAATTATGATTTTTGCCATAACTAAGAATCAACTGCATTGGGGAAAACAAATTGTCAAGCGGAGGAAAAATGGGAAGTCCAGGCAGTTTAAAATGAATATAAAAGTTTATTGCAAGTTCATGCTCTGTACAAGAATCTGAACTACTAACTGTCAAAGCAAATTGTCGGTAGATAAGAGTCAAAAGAATTCAAGGGGGGCTGGATTTAGACCTCTTATGGGCGCGAAGGGACTAAAGACTGATGGTGCGTTTGACCCCTCCCTTGGGTTCAGCCTGGTCATCTCATACACAAATCTTATCAAATGCAACAATGCATATACAATGGAGTGTGTGTATATGTGTGTTTTTATGTATATACATATACACAAGAGCCAATATGGCTATGAAAAAAACTGTGTCAACCCAAATCTGTAAAATTCTTAAGAGCAACAGGCTTCAGATATAGCCAAACATATACTGAATGTTCCATACTCTTTTTAAAAATGGGTTAATTAGTGAAAAATCCATGAATGACTAGAGTTCACAACAACTAGTTCCATTTTATAGAATATATGTATCAGTGCAAACCATCAGGTGGTGACTGCTACGTTTACCTTTGTGAAGGCATTAGCAAGCATGAAGCAATATGAGACTGAAACATAGGGCATGCATTAAGAAAGACAAGTGAAGTAAAATATCACAACCCTCTTAAATGTTTTTTGACATCTGTTTATTTTCTAGGTGATAAAAAGTACATCATGGGACCCAGGCTTTCTACTTTAGATGCTACGGTGTTTGGTCATCTGGCTCAAGCAATGTGGACGTTGCCTGGAACTAGACCGGAGCGCCTCATTAAAGGTATGAATGCTTTAAATCCAGGAAGAACATAGGATGGTGATAAGAGGAAAAAAACCCACAGCTATTCTGGGTCAGCTTCATGGCCATATTTTTTTCAGCATTGGATGTTTTCCATATCTCAGTTCATTTGTCATGAGGGAAACAAAGGACCACTCAATGTAGGTGCTGCTTCTAAATATAACAACTTATATTGGTCATTGAAAACTATGCCAGATCTCCTCCATATGCTTTCAAACTTATAACAGGAGCATACGAATGTTCTTCTAATGACATCTGAAAATGTTGACCAAAGTAATGATGTAGGAATCAGAAAGACAAAAAATATGTGAGTGGTGTATCATTCCAGAATATGTATGTATGTATACCCATGCATATATACATACATGCACAATTGCACGCAAATGCTTAGCCAGCATGGAAATAAAAGGATATCAAACAGAGGTGTGTATAAGGCATCTTTTTAGTATAGTAAATAACCGCTTTATAGTATTACTGAGTAATTTGGGCTTTCAGAGAAAGTAAAAGGTGTTCCAACTTCTAGCTGTAGTTACGAAAGTTAAAATGGAAGGTTTCCTTCTCTGAAACTAAAAATAAAGTGAATTGCTACGAACAGAATAGTAAGATAATTAAAAGTTTTATTTGCTTTACTAAGCTCAGTACCTACTAGTTCTTTAGCAAAATGTCTTGAGTTTTTAATAGTGAGCAGCTAGTTTGATCTAATGGTTAAAGGCACCAGGCTAGTGTGGATTCTAATACTACCTTAGGCATGTCACACAATTGGGTGACTTTGGGCCAATCACTCTCTCTCAGTCCAGCACACCTCACAGGGTTAATGTTGTATGGAAAAATTGGAGGCGGAAGAAGCATTCGTATATTTGCTGCCCTGAATTATTTATAAAAATAATAAAGGCAGAATGAAAATATAAAATCGAATGCTATAATTTTCTGTTTTCCTACTTCCTTTCATCCTGAGACACCAACCTGCCTATACTTTTCAAAGGGACAATTTGCACTTGTTCCAAATATTTTGACAATGTCTGTGCAACAGAAGCCTATCTTGAGCTTCTAAACTTAATATTTAGTACTTTCTACTAAAATGGAAGCTTCCTTTGCATTGCAGTGACAGAGATCTGGACTCAGTGCAACTAAAGTTTACCAGCCAAAGATACAAAGGTGTTGTGAGATTAAGAGCCAAATTTAGTGACTTAGCTGCTAAAGTACAGTGCCTCAGAGAGGCTAAGAATACATTTAGAAACTAATTCTTTGGTGAGAATGCTATAATTTAAATTATTGTCAGTGACAGCTGATGGCTTCTTCAGAGTTTAAAGCTGTTTCAAGGGGAAGGATGTTTCCACCATAATTTTAACTAGATTATTTTATTCTGATTTCTTTAGCTAGCATAGTGCTTTGATGATTAAGAAAATATATATTCAGAATTCCTCATATGAGAGTAACATCTACTAATACGGTAAAAGGATGCACAGGTTATGAACTGTGGATATAATGGATGGTATAGTGTTAGTTTGCAAGTACATTCCATTGGAATTTCCTGCTGCCTCCAAGGTTTTTGCTTTAACAGCCTTCCAGAGGGCCACAGATAATTTAGACCACTTTGTTCAGATTGATATTGGAATCCAGGTTCCACAAGTCCCAGTTTATCTAATCAATGCTAATGGAGTTTTCTGGGACTTGTAATTCAACAAATCTAAAGGCAACAGTGTTATAACAGTATAAAGTTAATTTATAAAAAAAATGTTAGGGTGATCCTCACAAATAATGTATGGAAGCCAATATGGTAAGGCTTCTCATTAACCTGTCCCATGGGCCATGAATTCACTGGTTAATGGGATAGAGTTTTGCAGAAGGACAAGTATTTGTTCAAGGAAGTGTGACATAATAAGGAGAACAAGCACCATCGCTGCTTTTGATATAGTTCTGATGTTGCAACTGTGTGTTCCATTCATTTATTCTGAAAGCATATACCCCATTTTTTTCTATTAAAAATTGACAGCTGCCTCTGATAACCCTAGCAACAAATGTTTGCAATGGATGGTGCACAGGCTGCACATTAAATGCATGTTGTTATTCGTCTAAAGTGAAACTGAGTCTTACAGTATGGGCAAATGTAACAATTCTTAAAGACTCTAAATCATGGACATCCACCCTTTACCTTATTCCCATGATGGCGAACCTATGGCATGCATGCCACAGGTGGCATGCAGAGCCCTCTCTGCGGGCATGCGAGCTGTTGCCTAGCTCAACTCTACCATGCATGCGCACGCTCCTCTTGCTGGCCAGCTGGTCTTCAGGTCTCTACCATGCAGCGTGGGGGGGAGCGGTGCATGCGTGGGGGTGGGGCGCATGCATGGGGATGCATGCGTATGCTTGGGGTGGAGCACATGCAAGGGAGATGCACTTGCATACATGGGAGATGCGTGCGCATGGGTGGGAGCAGGACACATGCACAGGGGACGTGGACGCATTGCGTTTTGGTGATGCGCACAAATGCTTTGGCCACTTGGTGCCGAAATGGTTAGCCATCACTGCGTATTCCCTCAAAAGTGGAATATGTGTGTGATTTATATGTTCATTTTCTTTCTATAATATGCTGTGGTTATTTTTAGCAACAGGACTTCAACATCACCTTTTTAAAAATAAATACTACAGTTCTATTTGAATTGAATTGAACTGAATGATTTGTCATTAAAAGGCCTACGTTCTTGAATAAGAACATGGAAGTCATAAATAACTTGCCCCGTAGTGTGGAAACCAACTGGCCTGGTGTCAGACTTCCATGAAGATTTTGGATAAAATCCAGATTCCAGAACCTCTCTGTAACAGATCTGTTACTGAGTATAGTTGTTTACTTTATCTTAGAAAGAACCTTTTATAAAGAGTGAAAAAGAAACCTGACATGGTTAAAGAACTGCATTTATTTATAGCGGTTCCTGTGATCTAGGATGCTGAGTAACAAGTCTACCAAGATAAATTAGTCTGATCTTGGAACATTGGTATATTAGGTCCACTCTTCTTTTTCACTGGCAAATCTAGCATCTAGATCAGGGGTGTCCAACCTTGGCAATTTTAAGACTTGTGGACTTCAACTCCCAGAGTTCCTCAGCCAGCTGGCTGAGGAA